CGGTTGCTTCGCCATTTTGGCGGATTCTGGTGGCCGCTTGCTCGTTTGCCACTTTGTTATAAAAAAAAAACTACGAAAGTTTTAAGTTATATTTATTACTAATTATCTACTTATTGAGGTTTTATTCCGCATGTAGGAAGACCCGGGTCGAAGCTAGTATGAAATTATTATACACATGTTTCATCATCAACCTGTCTTTCCTCTACGTATTGCGCGTTTATACTTAAAATCTACGAGCTATACAACACACACGCATCAGCTAACTAGCTGCTAGTGTGTCACCCAAAATAATAATAATAATAATAATGATTAAGGGCCCGATTCAAAAGGCGGTTATTTTAGAAACCGCACGACTAGTGAGGAGGTTCCTGTCTCTGCAGCCCTGACCACTGGTTGCTTGAGTCATCGGATTCCGCAGCCGTGCTCTATTTTTTATAAAATACATTTTATTTTATTTTATATTCTTGTAAAATGTGTTATATAGAGAATAAGACATAAAGATATATGGAGTGTATAAAAAATAATAATATTAGTAGTATAACTATACAGTGAATATCTCGATCCACTCTATTCTCTAGTATCAAAATGATAAAACAGTAAGGGCGCGGTTACATCCTAAAAACGTAGTTACCTGTTGTCTGGGCATCTCCGCCGGAATTCATAAAATCCTCGATAGTACTTTCTGGATTGATTACATTATTTGCTGTACTCTCTTCAGCATTTAGGAATTCCAAATCTTTTGTTAAATCATCAATAACTTCCTCGTTAGAGATTGTGTTCGTATTCTTAAGTCGATCCGACATTTTACACTATTCAAACTATTACCTACAGTAGATACTTTGATTTCAAATGAAATGTAAGTAAATATGAATACTTTCACGTTTCTTCAGATCAATTTTATAAACTGTCATGAAAATTGTTATGAGAAGGAAATTTTTACGATGAATTGACATTGACAAATTGACAATGATGTTATCAGCAGAAAAGTTTTCGATTCTGATTCCGATTCGATTGAAACGATAATCGATTTTTTAAATAAATACTTTAAAAATGGATCAATTTTGAAGCATAAAACTATCCTTATTTTATTGGAATTCTTAAATGGGTGAAAAATAATTTTGTTGTAGAAAGATTTAAATGCACACGTTTTTATGCGCAAAATTTAAGAAAAACCCTGAAGAAAGAATGCGTGAAGTGACTTATTTTGACACTGACACATCACTGAATAATTCCATTGTACGGAGTCGTGATTTCAAATTTATTTGCAAAATGATTATTTCGTATTATATTGATCTTGCGTACTGCTAATTTAATATGTTTTATTTAAAACAAATTAATTTTAATATAACGAATTTCAAAATTGTTGTGATTTTAGTGAAAACTCATTTCAATCATTTGACGTTTCGATAGAAATGCGTAAAACAAAACTTAACCTTTAATTGACGGGGTCACCATCTGATTCAAACAGCAAAAAGTTGGGAGGCAATAATGTAC